ATATATATATATATATATTTAATACGATAAATTATACACTAAATTCTTTATAGAAAATATGCGTCCTCCGAGAGGAATCAAACCTGTATCCAATACCGATTGAGCCACAGAGGAGTGTTTCGGTTAGAAAGGTCGATTTTACTGTTTTTAAACTACAATTCTCCATGATTTCCTCTCGTACATTCATATCTGCTCGATGCGTATCCAAATGTAAACAAATGACGTCACAGATTATGAAATGGACAAAGTCCGACAATTATTTTAAGATTAAATTCTTTGTAAATTATCGCTAGTAATTGGCATACCGAATGCGAACACCAGAATTAATAAAAATTGGCCATATTTATACCAGTTGTAATCCTTAGTATTATCAATGAATTTTTTTTTCTATTTTTATTTGAAAAAAGGCTTCAGAAATATTGAATTAAAAGACGAAGTTGTAAATTGTTTAATAAAATTATTTAATGTTTTTAATCAGTGAAAACACCATTAGAAATGTCGCTGAAATGTTTATTGGTGACTTTTTTGTTGCCACTTTCTAATAAGGTAAAAAACAACGAAAGAAAATAGTTGAAAAGCCTTCTTTTACCGGCCAGCATGACGAAAGCAATAAATTAGAATTTCTGCAACTAAAGGCGTTTGTTAAAGCATAAAAAGGTTGAAACAGGAAGCATTTTCCATTTTTATTATTGATTTCAAATTAATCAACATTGTGATTAAAGAAAGGGTTTTCCATTCTCCAAAGTAAAATGGAAAAAAAAAAATAATGAAAAGAAGAAACTAGGAAGAAAGAAAATTTAATAAGAATTAAATTTTATCGCTTTTTTGTTTTATTATCCAGAATAAAGACTTTAATAAAAAAAAAAATAAAAATAAAAAATGTTCAGTATAAAAGCAGAAATGTTTAATAAATACAATCCAATGTACCATGAATTGTATTATCTATAGATTTGGAAAAAGTCACAAACAAGTTGACTGCCAACCACAAGATAGCACGTGGTTGGCAGTTTTTATGGAGCCGACGACGAGTTATCTCGTGCCAACAATGATATCTGCCGACTACGGGTTATCCCGTGCCAACTAGGACATCTGTTGACTACGAGTTATCCCGTGCGACTGGGACATCTGCCGACTACGAGTTATCTCGTGATGACTAGGATATCTGCCGATTACGAATTATCTCGTGCCGACTAGGACATCTTCCAATTACTCGTTATCTCGTGATGACTAGGACATCTACCGATTACGAGTTATCTCGTGTCTACTAGGACATCTGCTGATTATGACTTATGTCATGTCGACTAGGACATCTGCCAATTACTAGTTATCTCGTGATGACTGGGACATCTGCCGATTATAAGTTATCTCCTGCTGACTAGGACATCTGCCGACAACGAGTTATCTCGTGCCAACTATGGTATCTGCCGACTAAGAGTAATCCCGTGCCGACTAGTACATCTACCGATTACTAATTATCTCGTTTCGACTAGGATATCTGCCAATTACGACTTATCTCATGCCGACTAGGATATCTGCCAATTACTAGTTATCTCGTGTCGACTAGGACATCTGCCGCCTACGAGTTATCTCCTGCTGGTCATTTTCTGATACACTTTTGATCTGCGGGCGCGAACAACGATTTTATTCGCAGTAATACTTTGAATTCGAAAACAATGTTAAAACATCAGTTGACACTTTAACTCGGCTCATAAAAAAAACCTTTTTTTTCCCCTACGTTGACTATTTCAAAGTTTGAAGCTATAAATCAACACATATTTCATATTTCCTAATTGACCTCTGACTGTTATTGTGTTAACTAACTTTATCCAACATTCGTACGTTCATAATCTCTATTTCTGTATCTTTGGCTTTGTTACCACAACGTTCCAGTTGATCCATTCGTCAAAGTTCTCTGGGTTTAATCCGTAAGGAAAACACGCAGTGTTTACTTTTGCATAAATAGACATTGATTTTCACCCATGTTCCTCGACCAAATCATATTGCACGGCCTTCCTCATTCAAATAAGATGTGTTACGTTTCTCTAAAACGACAAGGGTTCATAGACAACAGCTTTCACACAAGAGTAGAGTGTAAGAGTGTGTCAGTATTTGCAATAGAAGGATTATTCCAAAAACCAGCGACTACTTTAAGGAGAGTGCATATTTCACAAAGCAGGAAAGACTTCCTTGGTATGTTTCCCGAATCTTCCGTTATGATCATCTTGTGCAAACATCATGTGTCGGAAATCGAACCAGAAGGGTATTCAGATCGTCCATTCCCATATCACCCTCGAAAAGGATTAAGGTAACAGATCTTCTGACGCTCTACATGAGTATGTGATCCCCTAAAAGTGTTTAAATATGGCTTTTTAGCTTTATTTTGGTACACAGGAGCCGAAGTACTGGAGGTTGATAAGGACCTCCTCATCAAGGTAACACTATTTTGAGATCAGATAGATTTCGAATACTTCCCATCTTTAGTTGAAAGTTGGAACTGAAACAGAAACTTTCATGATCTGTCAGTCTACCTGAAGTGATCATGAAGACGACAAGCATTCCATGTGCCCAGCCGAATGCCAACAAATCTATTGAGGTTAATTTTGGCCCTTGTCATTATCCGATTTCTTTAGCGACCTCTTCGATGTCAGCATTATTCATTAAAAACGTGAATAGTGATTTTCTAAACACGGACTAGATGTGGCACTAGGCCGAAAGTATGGGGTACCCGGTGAGGATCTAACTCACTACTCAGTCGTAATTGATCTGTCAAGAGAAGCTTGCTAACCATTACACCGCGTCGAGGTGCGCAATTAAAGATGTGAATATGTATTCATCATAGACGGATTACCATGCCTAGATGGTACTGCAAGGTAACAGAATTCTTCGCATGAATGTTATCTTCAACTTGCCCTATTTTCACAAATAGATCTGGACACAAAAAATTCGCTCTTACCCCCTGTTTACCTCTCTCAGTGCACCTCAGGTCGTTGCTGACGTTCTGTCTTTGCTGTTTTTCAAAACATCTACTAACACGTCTTGCTCAGTTTGCTAATCAGATTTTGGTCACGATATTTGTTGTATTGTTCTGACATCCTCTGTCACTGAACTGGTGATGAGCGAAGTACGGTCGTTACTTTACAGTGGGTTGCATCGGATGTTTTTAGTCCAATACGCCAGATTCGCGCCGCCTTTATTTCTCACTGAAAGTTAACCGCCTTTATTTCACTGTGGTTTTCTTGTAATAATAAATGGCATAACACAATGGTGTCTGTATCGGTAAATTTTATTTCTTTAGACAGAAAAATGTTGCCGACTACTTGTCAGTGACGGTGAGTGTTGAGTTAGAATAATAAGACTTATATGAAGATAATCTTTGAGGAAGTAAACCTGTTGCCGATTACTGCACCTCTTTTTCTTTTCTTCTGTGAACCTCTCAAATATATCGTATTTCAGAAATCAGATACATTTCCATCAACTTGTGTGAATTTTTATTATATGTTTTCTTTTTAGCGCTTAACCTTAAATCATTTTCATTTATTCTACACCCACAGTGTTACATTTTTCTATTTCCCCATTTGATTCAGCAGAGGCTTTTCTGAAAAGGTTTTGTAAATGCTCTTCCCATTCGTCTAATCTTTCTTTAATTATTGCCTTTTTATTATTGATTGCAACAAAAAAAACACTAGATCCGTCTGATGAGGCAATGCAATGCCACTCCTCCCCGATACTGTAACAATTTATTTTAACCTAGGTGAGACACAGGAACTGATATCCTGGAAGCAATAATGTTACTTTTGTTGCAGTTTTTTTTGTATATATATATATACTAGTGAGCCAACCCAAATGACTTGACTCACTTTATAGTCCACCAATGAAAGGTTAACCAATCAGAAGACGTAGAATATACAATCCGTCGTGTATAAAGGCGGCCATTTTGTTTACTCTATCCCTAATGTCCAGTGCCAGCTTGTCAGGCGAAGAGAAACAGAAGGAAGAACTACACTCTGCTACTTTACCGGGATATCCACTGCTAACCTGAACTACGCTTTTCTACTATCTTCGAAATATTCACTGCTAACCTCTGGATTCTCTACTCAAGACGACCGTCATCATGAACAACTTTTGTTGGTCTATGGTTACGGAATCCCTTGAATAGTGTGATATGTTGAATGGCGCCACACTCAATCTGGGATTCGGTTTCAAACATTGCTTTCATTCTTTGAATCGTCACCTTTTTGCCGACTTCCAATGCTTCACCATAATCTCATCTTTCTGAGTCAAACAATCATTCCGCCACAAAACAATGTTTGATTTTGCTCGCAAAACTGCCTATTTATTCCGTTAAGCCTCAAATATATCATCTATGCCAGCAAGTAGGAGATTAACGAAACTATCCAGTGTCATGCTTACATCAATTTTTGTATGATTTCAGTTAATTTACTATTGTGTTTACGCTGAAAACGCCTATACAGTATGCAGAGTCACGTTAGACATTGCTAAGGTGATTTCTGTAGCAAATACGTTTTCATGAGTTATAGTTGCTATCCTCATACCCAACTGGTTTTGAATTCAGAGTTGCCGTTTTTCCTAAACTGGTTGTCAAGTTTGATGTGCTATTAAGTTTAGGGTAGGGGAAAAAGAGAGAGAATCATAACTTGCCAGGGGTATTTTTGTGAAACACTGAAATTTGATATCGACACATCAATCCCATTTTCCGCGCTGATAAATTCTACGCTAATCTCGTTAAAAAGATTTGGATTAACTGACCAATATTTACATATTTAAAACAATACAAGACGTGACCCAAAGTCTGATAACGGAATTAGTGAAGAGGCGGTTTGATGCTGACTATTCTTTTTTTTAGGTTCGATTCTTCCTTGATTCAGATTGTTCATCGTAATAAAGGAATTCAGCCATCACCCGTTTTTCTCAAGCATCATAACACCACATACAATCTCAGCACCTAAATTATCCCCCTAACAATAAATACCGGGGGGGTATACGGTCATATAACGTTAAAACACGGGTTCTCGTACAATCAGCGAAGTTAAGCAAAGACGTGTCTGGTCAGTACGTAGATGAGTAACCGCTTGGAAATACCAGGTGCTGTATGCGTCAGATGTACCGGTGATGTAATGGAAAACATCTCAGAATTAGAAATCGGAGGGCTGAGTTCCAATTCCAGTTGGATTTGTTATGTTCACTTACGTGCAAATACCCTTAGGAAAGGTATGAAGCCACCTCTTCTCCCCCAACTATGGGTTAATTAGTAAGATTTGTATCATCAAATCATTATCATCTCACGGAAGCTTTTCACACTAAAAGTATTTTCTGGCTTTAAATAACCTGAAAAGACTGGCTAAGCCATAAAAAAACAAATCAATCAATAATTTTGTATCATAAAAACAAGTGGTGAAGGAAAAGAAAAACCAAAAAAAATAAAGTAGAAATATATTTATACATAAGTTAATTTTTCCAAAATGATGAAGCTTAGATAAGAATTGTGAAGCCCGGGCTGTTGCGTTAAACATCTCAGAAGCTTTCGACAGATTATGGCATAACAGTCTTCTCCACAAGTTTAAAACTATCGGTATCTCTGGCCAAATTTTGAGCTGATCCAGTCTTTCGTATCACATTTTGAGGATGCCGCCATTTTCTCTTGTCGCGATATTAAGTCTGACAGGTCGCCAACGTGAAAATGGTGGCTGATGTCATAAACGACCTTCAGTCTGCTATTAAGTGGGGCAAAGAATGGCTTGTTAATTTTAACGCCTCCAAAACTAAACTGCTCTCTATAACTGATCTGGGATACACATTTCTGTCGGTTGATGCTATCCTCCAGAAGAGTGAATCGTTGGGTCTTCTCGGGATAACTTTCTCAGCTGACATGAAGTGGAAGGTCTATATTGAATCCATTGCCAGGTCAAATGCTAAGAAAGTTGGTTCACTGTGTCGTATTAAACAATTGTTCTCTCCTGGATGTATCTTAAATATCTATAAGTTTACCATTCGTCGTTGCTTAGAATATTACTGTAATATATGGCCTGGAGCTGCTGCTTTATATCGAGAGATCCTGGAAAAATTCCAAGAAGAATCAGTAACATTATTTTTTCGGCTCTGACCTCTCGGCTTCAGTCACTTTCCCATGGCGGTAAAGTTGCCTCTCTGTGCCTTTTTTATAAATACTTTCATGGTAATTGTCCGGATGAGCTCTTCGCTTTGGTATCTAGACTTTAGTAATTTAGGCGCAGTAATATTTACCAACCACCCCACGGGGTAGGATGTGGCACGAGGCCGAATTTAATGTGGGGTAACAAATTTAATGTGGGGCAAATTTCAGTACTCGATTGACGACGAGAAGTTATCAATTTACGGTTGAGTGTAACCGCAAGTTCTATGCTAACAGTTTCTTTTCTCGCACTTCTCGCTTGTTGAACTCTCTTCCGGCTTCATGATTTCCGGTAAATTTTAATCCTCAAAATTTTTAATGCCTTGTCAATCGCTATCTAATGTTATCTCGATTACTCTTCCTTTGTTCCCGCTCCTTAATAATATTTCAGTTTTCTAATTCATCCACACCAATTAAGACCTTGTGTCTCAGTGTCTTTACTGCCTTGCTTGGGGGTGAACATGCTTAATATATACAGTGGAGGGAAATAAATATTCGTACACCATGAAATCTTTTAATTAAGATAGTTTAACTTATGGAAAGACTTAAAACCACTACAATATTTCTACATCATTGCATAATGCTGCAATATGCAAAACAAAATTAGAAAACTTTGTTATAAATGAAATTATGTGTTATAAAATGTCAAGGTGAAAAAGTGTTCGTACAAAATATGTCTTTAATATTAAAAAGGGTAAATTACCCTTATTTACATACGTCTTTTAAGATTTTTGCTAGATTCTTCCAATTATAAGGTTATCTCCGCACACGAAACATACACAAAAAATTCATCATGGCGAAAGGCAAGGAACTATCAAATTCGTAAAATAATTATCATCAAACATTGGAAGGAAGACAAATGTTATAGGAAAATAGATATCCTGAATATACCATTTACTACTATTTGTTTTGTTATTTTTAAGTATAAAAAGATGAAAACTATTGAGAACAAATCGAGATCTGATGCAGAACACAAGATTTCTTGAAGATCTATGAGAAGAATTCAGTGCAAAATTCAAGAAAATCCAATGACTACTCGGAGAGAAATACAGGAAGAATTAAAAGCATCAGGTATTATTGTTACGAAGCGAAAAATAAGCAATAAAATTCATAGAAATCAACTAACATTGCATTCTCTAAGAATAACTCCAGTATTATTTAAGAAACATAGGGATTCCCGTTTTAAATTTGTTCTTGAGCATAAGAATAAAACTGAATCATATTGGGAAAGTGTTTTATGGACTTATGAAGCAAAAATTGAACTATTTGGGCGTAATTCAAGTACTCACATTTGAAGAAAAGATGGCAAAGACTTTGCATCGAAAAACACAATCCCAACGGTGAAATTTGGTGGTGGCAATATCATGGTTTGTGGATGTTTCTCTGCTAATGGTATAGATATTTTACAGATAATAGATGGTAGAATGAATTCCAAAATATGCCAAGATATTTTGGACTCTAATTTGTAGGTAGCTTGGATTCCCAAATGAATGGGGTTTGAAACAAGATAATGACCATAATTTAGTACGGCTAAATCTACGAAAAAATGGCTTATTGAAAACAATGTCAAGACATTCGAATGGCCGTCACAGTCTTCAGAGTTGAATCCAATAGAGAAATGGTGGCGTTTATAATTCATATTAATAAAAGAGCTCCGAAAAACATCCTGGACCTAAAGAGAATATGCAAAGAAGAATGGAGTAAAATACCAATGGAGACTTGTAAAATCATTGATTAAAACCTAAAGAAAGAGACTGATGGCTGTTGAATTGTGTAAGGGACATGCTACAAAGTATTAAATAGGTATTATAATTTTGTACGAATACTTTTTTCGCCTACAATTTTTTAAAATTTCATTAATATAACAATTTTTTCGTAATTTTCTTTTGCATATTGCAGCATTTTTCAGCATTCCATGGTATACAAATATTGTATGGATTATAAAATTATTTTATAAAATCTGACTATGCTAAATAAAAAATCATGGTGTACGAATATTTCTTTCTCCACACACACACACATACACACACAAACTATATATATATATATATATATATATATATATATATATATATATATATATATATATATATATACATATATATATATATATACACAAATATATATACCTTCGGGAAATTTATTAATCCTCTTCTTCTCCCTCCAGCTATGGGTAAATAGCAGAACAGCCTGGCTTTGAATGGCAACTGGTTCTGGAGAAGGAAAACTTAGAATTCAAAACCCTCGGAGTGTCATTTGGGGATCTTGTGATACGTAGTACACCAGGTCTCTGTACCCAGCCCTTCCAAAAATGTGGTTGGTTCTGTGCATAAAGCCTTCACCACTATAATCAAACGATATGTGCTGGTGTCTGGGCTGTCGGTTCCTGAGAACTGAGCTGCTTGAACCTCGTACGTCGAATACGACGGGAGACTCCACCATATATATATATATATATATATATATATATATATATATATATATATATATATATATATATATATATATATATATATATATATATATATATATATATATATATATATATATATATATATATATATATATATATATATATATATATATATATATATATATATATATATATATGTATGTATATATATATATATATATAATGCAAAATATTAGTACATAATTTTTTAATTTATTGTATTTCCAACTAATGAATAAATATACTTTTTATATAACTAACTTTACACAGATGCATAATAATTAAATATGCATAGAAAACAGAAAACAATTTCATTTCATTTAATTGAAATAAATACTATCTATCCATTTTATTGGGGGGTGGAATATTCGTACACTAAAACAATATACATAATCTTCAATTAATTACTTTATAGAATAGCCATTATTTATTCCTACAACAACTAACCACTTCTTGTAGTCCTCAATGACTGATTTGCAAATTTTAGTTGGTATTTTGTTCTCTTCTTCTTCGCATCTGGTCTCCAGAGTTGGGATGTTTGTCGTAGTTCTCGATTGGATCTGAATTTTTAAATAATGCCACAGATTCTCGATTGTGTTTAAATCTGGAGACTGCCTTGGCCATTTCAGGACGATTACATTATTTTCATCAAGCCATTTCTTCGTAAATTTTACATTGTGCTTAGGATCATTATCTTGTTGGAAGAACAATCAGGAGGAAGTTCAAGATTTTCAAACGAAATCATTAAATTTGCTTCCAAAATATTTTGATATGCTGAGTCATTCACTATACTATCTATTACTTGCAAGTACCTTTTACATAAAAACATCCCCAAACCGTGATTCTGCCACCACCAAATTTCACTGTTGAAGCTGTGCTCCTTTCTTTGAAGGCATCGCCATTTCCTTCCGTACATGGTTTCTAAAATTGCGTCCAAAAATGTCAATTTTGGTTTCTTCTGTCCACAAAACTTTTTTTCCATTACGATTTTTCATGAACGAATTTCAACCTGGCATCTTTGTCTGTATTCAATAGCAGTAGAGTTTTCCGATGGGAATGTGATTTAAGAATATTCCTATGAATTTCATTGCTTTTTGTCCATTTAGTAACACGGACTCCTGATGAAAGCAAATCATCATGTACATCTTGACGAGTAACCATTGTATTTTGTTTAATTTGACGCATTAATTTCCTCAAAGATCTTGAATAAATCTTCCATGGAGCACCTATTCTTCTATGGTTTACAATAGTTTTGAGTTTTTATACCTTGCAAGGAAGATGGTGGTAAATGGAATATTCAGGTTGTCTGAGATTTACTTTAACTTTTATCTTCTTTCACCAATCAGTTCATTTTGCGAATTTGTTAATTCTTTACCTCTTGCCATAATGATAATTTTCTTGCACGGCTATCAATTACAGAATGTTCTTTTTGTACTTTTAGGCTAAAAATCAATACTGATAACATTATTGAAGATTTCTAGAATATTCCACT